CTTGTTGGAACCAGATCATTTTTCAAGCACATTTCTTCCTCTACTTAATTATTTGTGAATTCGAAATGAGGGCGAATGGAAGGTAATATCATTCACTCGGCACTCGTTTCGTATGCTAGGTCATGATGTTTTTCATAGAACTGTTTGTGCAGTACATTGTTGTGATACCAACATTCCTTGCATGTTCTAATTTCTTGGGAGACAGTTCATCTCCATCGAGAACAAGAGCTGTCTCTTACTGTTTTGTTGTATGCCTACCGAGGTGTTCGCTTGTTCACAGACTGACATTCTCGAGTAAGTAGGGCGTTGATTTACTGTATGTCTTCAAAAGAAAAACAATCATTCCTTGCTTTTGCATAATATTTTGTATAGTTCGCTTTTGTTTGTACATTGTTCAAGATTTATTATCGTTTGGTCTGTAAATAATAACGTTCTGGTTTACTGTTTTTTTTTTCTCAGTTCTAACTTCATTTATATCAAAGCAATAAAGATCCAAAAAGGAATGCTTCATCTAGTGGCGTAACCAAGGAGGAGATTCACGACGTTCAGCCCCTCCTTTCTTATCCACTCCTCTGGAGGGTAGAAAAAAAAAGACGGGGAAAAGAGGAGAAGATCTAGGAAGGAAGAATGAAGTGGGAAAAGGCAGCAAGGGAGAAGAAGAGAGGAGTCAGAGGGAGAGAAATAAGTGTATAAAGATCCACTCCAAAATTCAGCTATTTTTTGAGACAAAACCATTTTGCGTCCCTCTCCCCTTGGAAAAAATCCTGGCTACGCCACTGGTTACATCATTTAATTGATTCCAGTTCGTTTGCATCCGGATAGAAAACTTTCGGTTTATCAATGTGATTTTTCTGCATTCATAACACGCTGTTTGTCAAGTCGTGTCTGAGTCGATGCGATATTTAATTACTCACTATCTAAAAATATGTCAGTTCTCAACCGTGAAAGTTTTCCTTAACGAACGATAAAACTAATACAAACTGAATTACAATCTGATACACACCACATCATAAACATATGAACCTTTTATTATTTGTAACGGCCTTAACTGAGTTTTTCATATGAATAAAGTTCGAATTAAATTGCGACTGATTAACACTGCTAAAAATCTTACTTTCATTCATTACGCAATGTATATTGAAAAAAAAAAAGCATTCGAAAAATCTCCAGTTTCAAGTAGCAACACCCCAACATCATTCTCAAGCAAATGACGAAGTATTATTGTTAAGGAGTTAATCATATCATCACAATGCTCCCCTCCCGTCAGTGAAGATGTACGTATATTTGACGCTAAATTTATCGTTTGAACTGGTGAACGAGCGTATTGATGACTGAAACATTTAAGGAAATTTCGCCAGAAAGACGATAGATATATCTTCCTCATCAGTGTACGTACCCAAAAACGAAAATTAAAGTGAATGGAAAGTTTGGGCTGTGATGTGCGTAACAGTGGAAAACGTATTGATTGAATCAACATGAACATAATTAGACTGAATACACTTTGTAAGAATATATAATTTTATTTAGTTCGAAGCACATACATCTCTTTATTGGGTGACTGACATCTTTATTATATGGATGCTTCAAAAAGTAGCTTAATTGCATGAATTGATATGAAAAGAGCGGAGTGATGATTATTGTACGATACTATTAAACTGTTGACCTATTCTTTCATCATTTTGACAAACTCGAAAAATGTGATTCGACCATCACCATTCGTATCCGTTGCACGAAACATCTCTGCGATAGCATTGCGGTTCTCAAGGTTCGCCGTTACGGACAATATTTGTTCCAGTTCCTCTGCAATTTCGAAATGGTCTATGAGACGAGCGATAAGTGCAATAAAGAATGCCAGTTGTTTGCAACGAATAGAACATTCAACATATATACACGTCTTCAACGATGATTTGTTTGAAGTTGAATATTTTAGTCATGCCCGGATTTGGAGGATTACAATTAGTATATCACAACGATTAGTACAACTTAAAATATACATTAATCAAGCAAAAATATTTTTCAAAAAGTTCCAAACAAGCAATAACTGAGTTTGAACATTACGATGCATTCATAGCTGCAAGCAAAATGAGGTTATACAAGGGTGTTAAAACTGACATCCATTGTTCGCCCTCTTGCAATTCCCTTAAGTAACAAACGGAACAAAAACTGTGAGTGACAATGCCGAAACTAGTTATTTGTCACTTTGAAATTTGGTCCATTTAACCTTTATCCAGTCGCTCTTCCGACACGAATTTTGAATAGTGCATTAATCACAGAAAACTTCAAGCGTACGTTTTCAGATAACTGGAAAGATGCAATATTCATTTATGTGCGCAGAAGCAGCATTTGATAACGCTCAGCTTCTTGATTCGCGAATCCATCTCGCTCAGTGAACTTCAACGCGATCTTAGAGTATACGAATTGTTCCGGGATACAACCACTTGCGAACGCCCCGCGAACGCCTTGAATCTAATGATTTTTGTTCCTATTTCTTCTTCTATATATTTATTACCCTTATATGCTCAATTTGTTACATTAAATACAACGTGTTCACACGTATTACTATTGCCAAAATTTTCACCACTCAAACTAAGTAGACAACTCCTAGTGATACATTAACACGCCGCTGAACCAGGTCCATAGCCAACTTTCGGTATTTGGTAAGCCGAACTGCAAATTCGCAAGCTATTTGGTTTTCTTTACTTTTTTGAGAGAGCGATCTTTACTGCTTCAGTCTTATCTACCAGCTATAAACTCGAAGCGCTGTGCGGAATTCGGTGAAGAATCATATGAATTTTGACGAAATGGGATGGAGATAAGTTACGCATATCTGCCATAGAATGAAATGTTGCATTAAATTTCGAAGCAGTCCGAAAATAACAACTTTCCAAGATACACGTTTAAGTTTGTTGTTTTGTTTTCTGAAAACTTTGAGCACTTTTATTTGTGTCACCATTTTGTACTCAAAACTACGTTGCATGTCTCTGAGTGTTGTCTTTCTACTTATTGCAATCCTCATCAATCATTTCAAGCAACAAAACTTCGTTTCTATTTACTGAGAGTGGTCATTAGTTTTAAAACACCCTTCCTTCACAGATCACATTCATAAAATAAAATTCTTACAACTTTCAAATTGAAATTACATTTAAAATCTTACAACTCAAAATCATATCACGTATCACTGTATTAACGAATATGCATTATGCGGTTACTTGGTGTTGAAACACATACACTACTTGCTTGGTGTTGAAACATGAACACTGCTGCGTTCGTGTAGATAATGAATGCATATTTAGTGAGTAATGCT